TGATCCTGTGTCTAAATGATCTATCCATTACTGTAAGTGGAGTATTTAGAGTCCCCTGCAATTACCACATTCTTATCAATAAGGTTGCTTATGTTTGTGATTAATTGTTTTATATATGGGGGCTCCCGTATTCGGCACATAGACATTTATAATTGTTAGCTCTTCCTGATAGATAGACCCTGTAATTATTAAATAATGCCCTTCTTCATCTTTTGTTACAACCTTTAATTTAAAGTCTACTTTGTCTGATATAGGTATGGCTACTCCAGCTTTTGACTTCTAGTAGCATGAGATAGTTCTCCATCCCCTCACTTTCAATCTGAAGGTGTCCTCAGGTCTAAAATGAGTCTCTTGTAGACAGCAAATAGATGGGTCTTGTTTTTTTTTTTTTTTTTTATCCATTCTGATACCCTATGTCTTTTGGTTGGAGCATTTAGTCCATTTATATTCAGTGTTATTATTGAAAGATATGGGTTTAGAGTCATTGTGATGTCTGTAGGTTTCATGCTTGTAGTGATGTCTCTAGTACTTTGTGGTCCTTGCAACATTTCACTCACAGAGTCCCCCTTAGGATCTCCTGTAGGACTGGTTTAGTGGTGATGATTCTTTCAGTTTCTGTTTGTTTGGGAAAACCTTTATATCTCCTTCTATTCTGAATGACAGACTTGCTGGATAAAGGATTCTCGGCTGCATATTTTTTCTGTTCATTACATTGAAGATTTCCTGCCATTCCTTTCTGGCCTGCCAAATTTCAGTAGATAGGTCTGCTACTACTCTTATGTGTCTACCTTTGTAAGTTAGGATCTGATTATCCCTAGCTGCTTTCAGAATTTTCTCTTTATCCCTGTATTTTGCCAGTTTCACTATGATATGTCTTGCAAAAGATCGATTCAAGTTAAGTCTGAAGGGAGTTCTCCGTGCCTCTTGGATTTCAGTGCCTTTTTCCTTCCCCAGATCAGGGAAGTTCTCAGCTATGATTTGTTCAACTACACCTTCAGCCCCTTTCTCTCCCTTTTTTTCTTCTGGAATTCCTATGATATGGATATTGTTCCATTTGATTGCATCACTTAGTTCTCTAATTCTCCCCTCATATCCTGGATTTTTTAATCTTTTTCTCAGCTTCCTCTTTTTCCATAATTTTATCTTCTAATTCACCTATTCTCTCCTCTGCCTCTTCAATCTAGCTATGGCCGCCTCCATTTTATTTTGCACCTTATTTATAGCATTTTTTAGTTCCTCATGACTATTTTTTAGTCTCTTGCTCTCTGTAGCATTAGATTCTCCGCTGTCCTCTACGCTTTTTTCAAGCCCAGCATTAATTTTATGACTATTACTCTAAATTTTGTTGTGTTATATTGCTTAAATCGGTTTTGATCAATTCGTTAGCTGTCACTACTTCCTGGAGTTTCTTTTGAGGAGAGTTCTTCCGTTTCGTCATTTTGGGTAGTCCCTGGGGTGGTGTGGAACTGCAGGGCACTTCCCCTGTACTATCTGGAGAAACTTGTGTTGGTGGGCGGGGCCGCAGTCAGACCTGATGTCTGCCCCCAGCCCTCCACTGGGACCACAGTCAGACTGGTGTGTACCTTATCTTTCCCTCTCCCAGGGGCAGGACTCACTGTGGAGTGCTGTGGTCCCTGTCTGGGCTGCTTGCACACTGCCAGGGTTGTGGTGCTGCTTTGATGGGATCTGGCCAAAGGCATATTAGATGGGGTGGATCTGGAAGGTGCACAGGGGCGGGAGGGGCAGGCTTAGCTAGCCTTGCCGTGGGAGGGTCCTGCAGCACCAGGAGGGAGGCAGGTCCGTGGGAGGGATGGACCCACAGAATCAGTGTTGAGGGTTTGCACAGTACAAGCAAGTTCGGTGAGAGGAACTGGTTCCCTCTGGAATTTCAGCTGGGGGATGGGAGAAGGAAATGGCGCTTCCCAGCACCTTTGTTCCCCCTGCAGAGCTCTGTCATTCAGGGTTCAACAACTCTCCCTCCCTGCTCTCCGAGAGCAGAGCTATTGACTTTTAACATTCCAGATGTTAAGTCCCGCTGGCTGTCAGAACTCACGGAGTCCAGCCCTTCCACTTTTGCAAGCCAGACTTTGGGGGCTTTGTCTTGCCTGGTGGGCTCTCCCTCTACTGCCCTGGCTCCCTCCTACCAGTCCGTGTAGCACACGCTGCCTCTTTGCCCTTCCTACCCTCTTCCGTGGGCCTCTTATCTATGCTTGGCTCTGGAGAGTCTGTTTTGCTAGCCTTGTGGTGGACTTCTGGATTATTTAGGCAGATGTGGGTGGAATCTAAGCGATCAGCAGGACAAGGTGAGCCCAGTGTGCTCCTACACCACCATCTTCCCAGCTATCCTTATGTTTTTTTATTTTAGTCATTCTGACAGGTGTAAGGTGATATCTCACTGTGGTTTTGATTTGTATTTCCCCGATGATGAGTGATGCTGAGCATCTTTTCATGTGTCTGTTGGCTATCTGTATGTTGTCTTTGGAAAAAGGTCTGTTCAGGTCCTCTGCCCATTGTAAAAATGGGATTATTTGTTTTTTGGTGTTGAGTTGTATAAATTTTTTTTTCAATTTTATTTGAGAGACAGAACGTGCACACAAGCAAACAAGCAGGGGAAGGGGAGAGAGAATACCAAGTAGCTCCATGCCCAGTGTGAAGACCTACATGGGGCTTGATCCCATGACTGGCAGATCACAACTTGAGCCAATATCAAGAGTTGGACGCTTAACCAACTGAGCCATCCAGGCGCCCTGAGTTGTATAAATTCTTTATATATTTTGGATATTAACCCCTTATCAGATATATAACTTGCAAATATCTTCTCCCACTGCGTAGGTTGCCTTTTTGTTTTATTGATGGCTTCCTTTGCTCTGCAAAGTGAATATCTGCACATATACTCCTAACTACTATTTAAAACAACCACACATCAGGGGCACCTGGGTGGCTCAGTCAGTTAAGCGTCCAACTTCAGCTCAGGTCATGATCTCACAGTTTGTGAGTTTGAGCTCCAAGTCAGGCTCTGTGCTGACAGCTCAGAGCCTGGAGTCTGCTTTGGATTCTGTCTCCTTCTCTCTCTGCCACTCTCCTACTTGTGCTCTGTCTCTGTCTTTCATAAATAAATAAACATTAAAAAAATTAAAAAACACACACACACATCAATCTCTTAACCTTTCAAATAAAAAAGATCATTTAAACTATTTTTAAATGCAGTCTTTCTCATGTCCAAAATACCACATATAACCACCTATTAAATAATACTTTCCATTGATTGAATGCAAGATAAAAAGTATATAGGCTATACCTTCATAACTACAGTAATAAAAAACATTGAGTGCTTCCACTGCAGCTGGACCCCTCTGTTTATAGCCAAAAATCAGATCTATCCATTCATGAAGATGAGCAGAAACATATTCAGACTCCTAGAAAAAGAACAAATAATAGAGACACCTTCCAACAACAATGTAAATATGAGTCTTTTTAAAAAGTAAATCAAGCATTTCTACCCAAAAATGTTACAACTATAAAGAAAATTATATCAAAATCATGTTAAACATTTGATCAGCATCTACTACATATTTTACATATATTCTATCTAGTACAATATAAACATATTTATTAATATTTAATAATATAAAATATCTCTTAACTAATGGCTAAAGAAAATAACTCAAATATTCTAATAGTCCAAATATCAACAACAAAAAACTTAATGATGGCTATGGATGTATCTTTCTTGTTAAATTTCCATTCACATAGCCATCTAGAAACTCATTTCAAAGAAACAAACCAGTTGGGGTAGATTAAAGATGGCTGAAATCACCCCCTCCAACCTACCCAACTTGATACCACCCCACTAAAAAGGTGGACTGGGTGGCAGGCAGAGAGGCTTGAAGGACCTCCTGAAGCCTGTTAGTGACGGTTTGAAAGACAATATGACAATTGTTATTGGAGACAGGAGAAAAGGGGATTCAAGTTTAGTTCTATCAAAGAGAGAAAGAGTACCTAATTACCTCATGAATCTGGGGTAGAGATTTTTTTTCAGTTTCTATTTTAACTCCAGTTGGGTAACATACAGTATAATACTAGTTTCTGGTATACAATATAGTGATTCAACACTTCCATACAATGGGTGGAGGGATGGGTTAAATAGGTGATGGGAATTAAGGAGTGCACTTGTTGTGATGAGCACCTGGGTATTGTATGGGGATGGGGATTTTCCGGCAAAATGTTTTTAACTGGTAATTTGTGCTTTTAACTGCCTGTGATAAAGCGTAGAAGGAGTAACATGAGTTTAAAAAAAGAGCTATTTGGATTTTAAGCATAATTTAAGAAAAATATAAAGGAGCAGGTCTTGCTGGGTTCCAAATAAAATTATTTCTCATTTTCAGGATACTAGAGAGCAAAGACTCTTGAAGTGAGAAATGGCCAAGGTCAATGATGAAATCAGTGTGTAACCTGTAAAATATGGTCTCAGGTGAACGTTTAGTTCAAGAGTGTAGCTGTGAAGCAATCTGTTCACACCTCAAAGATTTCAGGCTGTGCCACAAAGACCCACTCAACTAGAAAAGAGAATATCTTAAGAATCTTTTTTGCTTTTTGTAACGTTTTATTTTATTTTTGAGCCAGAAAGGTCAGAGAGAGAGGAAGACACAGAATCTGAAACAGGCTCCAGGCTCTGAGCTGTCAGCAGAGCCCGATGCGGGACTTGAACTCGCGAACCGTGAGATCATGACCTGAGCCAAAGTCGGACGCTTAACCAACAGCCAACCAGGCTCCCCAATATCTTAAGAATCTTAAAGGTATTTTCCCACATTAGCTTCCAGCTTGGCCCAAAGGAAATAATGGATTGTATTCTAAAATAATGTGAAATGGTTTTTGTCCGATAATACTGATGCATAAGAAACCCATTAAATTTTAAAAGAAATTATATTAGTTCAGACTGAAGTAAGTAGAAATTGTTAAAAAAAAAAAAAAGATGAGAGACCTTTGATTTTCAATTTACTGTGGTTAGGTAAGAGGCTGACAAAGATACTCATGCAATTTTTTTTTTTTTTTTTTTTTTTTGAGGTAAAAGAGAGAATGACTCAAAATAGGAAGCTAAGAACCAAAGGGTAAAACAAAAGAGCCACAAAGAACCACTGGAATAGCACTGGGCCCTGGTAAAGGAACTGAAAGCATGTCCCTGTTGGAATTCTGAATTGCTATAAACCAATTACTGTTACATAGCCCTTGTTTTTCTCTCCCCCACCCTTTTTGAAATTAAATTATTTGCCCAACGTGGGGCTGAAACTCATGACCCCAAGATCAAGAATCTCATGCTCTACCAACTGAGTCAGTCAGGTGCCCTTTTTAATCTCCCTTTTGAATGAGAGTGTCTATTATAGTTCTCCTGTCCTGGTCACCCCACTGTTATGTGGAGGCATATAACCTGTTTCTTTACTCCACAATCTTCAGATGCAAGAGGAGACACACCTGTATAGTTTTGTGCACAAATAGATTTGATTTAGATTACTAAGAAGATTCTGGACTTCAGACATCATGCTTTAATGCAGGGATCAGCACACTACTTACTGCTTGTGGACCAAGTTTTACTAGCTCAAAATTTCTAGAGTAGTAGAACACAGCCACGTCTAATTTTTTTTGCACTACAGTGGCAGAATTTTGCCACAGACCTTAAAGCCAGCAAAAATATTTACTATCTGGTCCTTTTTTATAGAAAAAGATTGTAGATACCTGACTTAAAAGTCCCTGACATGAGCCTTTGGGAGGATCTTAAGAGGAAGTATGTACATTTTGCACATAGGAGGAATGTAAATAATTTGTAGTCAGAGGGCAGACTGCGTGTGGTGGATTAAATATGGTTGCAAATTCTTTTTCCCTCCCACCATTGTGAAATGGAGTTTACTTTCCTTGCTTTTTTTTTTTTTTTTAAGAGAGAGAGGGTGCAAGTGAGCAGGGGGCAGAGAGAGAGAGAGAGAGAGAGAGAAGCAGAGCTCACCTGAGTGGGGCTTGTGCTCACCTGATGTGGGACTCGAACTCATAAACCATGAGATCATGACCTGAGCCGAAGTCAGATGCTTAACGGGTTGGCCCTACTTTCTCTGCTCTTGAATCTGTACTGATCCTATTACTGTTTGACAGGGTGACAGAAGTGTTGTGACAGTTCACAGACTTAAGCTTTAAGAAAGGGTAGAAGCCTTCCAATTTTGTACTCTTTTCTGAGCTGTGGACATGTAGATATCTGGCTATCTAGCTAGAGAGACTACATGAAGAGGAGATATCTTGAGAATACATGGAAAGAGAGAAAAGTCCAGCATTCCAGTGTCTCAATGCAACCTCCAGATGACCTCAACCTCAGCTGTTATATGCCTGCAAGGCTATGAGAACCTCAACAAGATGAGAATTGCTCAAATGAAACCAGCCAACTCACAGAACTGTGAGAGATAATAAAATGGGTATATTTTAAGCCACTACATTTTGGATAGTTTTTTATATAGCAATACATAACTGAAACACAGGTTTCTAATATTTTAATATAAGGAGCGTGTCTTCCTAAAATCCTGGACCCTTACTTCATGTCATAGATACTATAGAGGAATACATCTGAGAAGTTCCTGGCTAGCTAGTAAGTAACAGATTATTTTTCAGAGTTGCTTAGTTTATTTCCCAACTCCTTATTCATATATAATGTTCTTGAATTTTGTAAATTTGACATACTATGTATTAATGACAAGGCGTGTTTCCAAGTATTGGCCTAATTAGTTTCAGAGTCTGAAACATTTCAGTTTAGAAAGAGAACTAAGTGGACTATTGAAAGGGAAAGAAAACCACATCATTTACAAAATGACACAATTATCAGTGCTTAACTCTCACTACTCCTTTAATTCCAAGCTGGAAATTCAGCTAAAAACGACTATTTTTTAAAGTGGAATTTAGGATTTAGCAGTTGTATTAAAAACTTACTGAAATCCTTCAGAGAACACAAAAATCCTTCACAAGAGGACACAAAAATGTGCTCATTCTTGTTAGATTTGAAACAAATGTGGGAACTGAAAAACACTAAACTACACCACCTTGGTCGTTAGAATACTTTAAAATATAACAGGCAGGTACCTTATAAAACTGAATTGCATTTTTTTTTTTTTTTTTTTTTTTTTTTTTTTTTTTTTTTTGCTATACATCCATTGGACTATACTATATTCTCACGATATCAGAAGATTCATTATCTCAAAAGAAATTACTACATTATACTTTCTACAACAGCATATATAACAGATGACAAGTTAATCTAGAAAAATAATTGTCAGATATACTTCCTCTGACTGTTAGACTGTTTCTTTAGCCCATTCTTTGGAAAACACATACATCTCTATCTTAGTAATCTGTCTAATAACTAAACACAAAAATCTTACCAGAGCTTTCCTGTGTTTATAGATGAAATCTTCAGCTGACTTAGCCCATTTGGGGAGAATGACATCATTTACTACATCTTTGGAAACTTGTAGACAACCCAAGTTAAATTCTAAGACAAGTAAAAAATAAATGTATCAAATCATTGAGATTTAAATAAATCAAGTAAAACAAATATGAGGGCACAATCCTTAACAAAACTAAAGATTTTTAGTTTTTTTCTTCTTTAATTAAGAGTAAAATGTGAGAACCAAGTTCCCTTCTCTTGATCTAAGTTTACTTAACAGGTAAAAACAATTCTTATCATATTGGAAATGTATTTTATCAGTTGATTAAAAAGGTAAATGAAAATAAAATGAAATTAGTTATTACAAGGTAATTATTAGTTTTAAATTAGTTATTATAAGGTAAATCAGAAAACTAATTGATTTGGGGTTGAGAAGTGGGGAAAACTATAGATATGACCAAAACCTTAATCTACACAAAAATGGAATATTCAGTATTCTTCTTACATTTAAATTAATTAATATAGTCCTTCTAGTGGTTAATTTATAAAATACAACTCCTTAGAACTTTTTTGGTGTAACTTATACTTTAAATTCACTCAATGGAAGTGTTATATTTGTCATATGGAAAAAATATACTTACATACCACTATTCTAAGTAGATACTGACATCATAAAGATTTGCTCATATAGTTAAAATGCAGTATTTTGACAAAAGTGTCCCAAAGATGAGGTTTTCTTGTTTATATGAGGAAAGAAAAGTGTTAAGACAAAAGACCTTCATAAAAGAAGCTGCCTTAAAATATCAGTGTGTTCCAAAGCTGGAGAGAGGTTTGAATGTCATAGAATGACAGGATGCACAGGGCCTGTGGCTTTGTTAACCCCACTACTATGTAGCAGACATTGTTGCCAATGTGCTAACCATTCCTCCTTATTTGGTAACAGAATCTTGATTTTATTCAAGTATCCATCCTTGCCCTATGTTTTATGCCTGGTAACAAGTTGACTGGTGTAGGGGTTGGTATAGGACTCAGCTCTGGACAATAGGGAGAAGTTATGAGAAAGAATTTCTCACTCTTAAGAAATGACACAAAAAATTACAATCGACTTCTATTGTATCTGCCTATGATGCCTAGAAATGCTTCAGTCATTTGTAACCATGAGAGCGACTAGCCAAGGACAAAGTCAAAACACTTAGAAGAGCAGAATGAAAATACAAGAACTTAGCTTTGATGATGATGTTAAAAACTACCTGAACACCATCATAACTTGGGGGTTTTATTATGGAAAATACTAAAATTTTCTTGCCTGTACAATTCTAAGTTGACTTATACTAATATTTGTTTTACTAATTAATATTATTATTTGTTGACATTCTAATTAATGTACTTTGCTTTCTCCCACCTAGCTCATTTCAAACAAAGAAGCAACTCACAGTTAGAAAAGGAGGCCAGTAGGACAGTAGTATGAGACAGCAAACTGCTCTAGTGCACATCAGAAATTGTCAAGCTAAGAGTATAACTTCTACATCCAAATTTAATCTCCTCAGCCCTCCTAGTGCAGATATCCTGCTTTGGAGGCTCCTATGGGTAAGAGTCTAGGATCAGAATCCATTAACAGACTCAGTTGATTTTCTGAAAGTGACCAATTTTAACTGCCTTACTCTGAGAAATTAGATGCCAACAGCATGTCCCAGAATGTATGATCAGAGGACACAAGGCCCTGGATATGCTCTCCCTAGCATGGCAAATAACTCTGCTGAAAAAGCAAAGGGTCAAACATTAACATTACACACTAGGAGAGGAAAAAGAAGTTGGAAATGGTCCTTTGACACTGCAATTTCCCTTAAGAACACCAGTAGTAACAATCTTGTCATTATCTTATTGTGCTTAAAAATAAATCTCAAACTGCTTCACAGAGGAAGTATTTGGGTATTTTTAAAGACTGTATTGGCTCCTTAATTCTCTACTTCAAAACATAATACGATTTTTCAAATATTGTGGTAAGTTACACCCTGTCATTATTTTCAATTTGCCTTAAACCAGAAGTCTGCAAACTTGTTCTATAAAGTGTCAAAGAATATTTTTTGCTTTGTGAGCCCCATGGTCTCTGTTGCAACTACTCAAATCTGCTGTTATGTTATGAAAGCAGCCACAATCTGTATGTAGATGAACTGGTTGGGCTGTGTTCCAACAAAACTTTAAAAACACATGAGTTTGCCTGTGGATTTAATCCATGGACCCATAGTTTGCTAACCCCTGATCTAAATTTTCATCTTATCTAACTCAAACACTTTTAACCTAAGTGGTTAGCTATATGGCTGAAAGAGCAACGGCATTTTTCCTTTCTAGTAAACACTGTACTCTAATAAATTCTCTCACCAACTCAAATTTGATTCATCATAGGCCAGTGTAGCATTTTCCTGGAAAAGTAAGACTACAACTGGGCATTGGTTAAACCCTATTACTAAATAGTACAGACAGAATGAACCTTAAATAATCTACAGAATTTCACAAAAATATCCAGAAAGGTATTTTTCAGGATCCTCCACTGGGACCCGTTGAGGTAAATTTTTAATCTATTTCTTACGATTTTGATTTTCCAAAAACTCTGGGAAATAGAAGAATTCAGGAATAAGTTCTTTCACATCATATGGATTGTCCATGAGAGCCTGCCAAGTGGCAGGGATGGAATGGAATTGTCGATCTGCACAGTCAAACCTGCACATGGAGATTGGAAGAGAACAGTGAATGAATACTGAAGGAGAGCAACAACAACCATAAAACAAACCTTAAACTCTCCCCATGTTTCCTAATGGTTAGAGCTTCTCTTTCATTAATTTTTCTCTTCATGTCTAAAAACACAATTTGCTCTCCTTCTTATGATAACCTATCTTCCAAGTCTTGTTGCCAAGAACTAATACTGTAATTTTAATCACAAGTATCATCTTAGTCAAAGTAGCTGAAAACCAAATAACACTAGAGAAAATTTTCAAATAATTAAATTAAATGTAAATCTAAGAGACTTTTATTTTTTTAATATATATATATATTTTTAATTTAATATATGAAATTTATTGTCAAATTGGTTTCCATACAACACCCAGTGCTCATCTCAAAAGGTGCCCTCCTCAATACCCATCACCC